TACTTGTGGCAATGTTGATTCATGAATACATGTTTCAATTGAACCTTCATCATACCAATTTGTATTTTCAAGTAAACGAGATTCTGTAGAGGGTGAACTATCACTAACTGATGATGACGATGTGTTGGAAATGGTAGCTGAAAACGGTGGCAATGGTAAATTCTCCATGCCGACGTTAACTGGAAGGATGATGGCGGATTTTTGTTCTCTTGTTGAAACGGCAACGATGTCGAGGTCTGTTAGAATAGGAAAAAAAAAGAAGAAGAAATAAGTGAAGATAAGAAAAAAAAAGTCGTGAGAGTTTATGCGTGTGCGAGCATGCAGCAGCATCGTCCGTCTTTCTTTTTTTTTTCCTTTTTTGTTCCTACATCTTGGTGACGTTGAACATTCACTCTCTTACGATAACCGTAGTTCCCCATTACATGAGGTAACAAAGATAAGAAAATGACACGCGCGTGTATGGATTCATGTCTATACATACATATAATCACTGGGAAATGAGCTACGTATGTCGCCACTAGTGGTCATTTCATGTTGAATGTCTCAAGAGAAAACATATTAACATGCACTAGATCTTTCAATCATTAGTAATAATAGAGAAAAAATAGCTTTTATCTTTTAATGCCAATCATGTATTGGAAAAAAACTTCTTACGGCTGCTACAACAACTAGCACATGTTGACAAAAGAATGAAAAAGAAAAAAAAAAAGTATAGATGTTTTGTTTGTATATGTACGAAGACAAACCGACAAAAATATTTTTTTTTCAATCTCGATCAATTCAACAACTAAAAATTTTGCTGTTAGACATTACTTTTTTTTTCTCTCTCTCTCGCTCTATTATTTAACTTACATTTCTTCATCTATCAAAATTTTATGCTTACATATAGAAGAATTATTTCTCTTTATTCAATCATCAAAATATGTCTTCGCTTCTCTTTTTTACCCTAAAAATTACAAGTATTATCCTCCAGATAAATAAATATCAAAAATTTGCTTATATATATTATGTTAGAAAACAATCAAAATCTAAATGTAACTCAATCGAAAAGAAACAAAGTTTTCTTTTCTTCCTTTTTTTTGTTCTATGAGTATTTTAATTCAAAAAAAAATTTTTTTAACAAAAGATAAAAAGTTCTTTTTTATATTTCTTATGTCAAGATAAGTATCCATTTCCTAAAGTGTAACTCCTATAAATGAAAATTTTTAGAGTTTAATGTCTCTATCAAATCAACATTAGACATAAAATTACCTTCAGGATGAGGTTCTAATGTTTCAGTGTGACTTAAATCTGAAATAGAACTATGTGAAGATAATGTTTCATCATCTAATTGTGGCGTTGGTGTTTTGTAGCCATTCATTGATGTGTCACTTGCTAATGCTGTATGATATGATGATGTCGATGCTGATGAACACGGTTCATTTACACTAATATAAGATGATGAATCTGTTATTAAAAGGTTTTTATCTAATGATGGTAAATTTGCTTCAATATTAGATAAATATGTTTGCGAAATATTAGTCAGCATGGTATGAGTCATCGTATCGTTGGTAATTTGATGTGTAGGCGAAATAGGAGTATGATTTAATGAGGGGTCGTTAATTACCCGTGACGATAAAGCTAAAACAAAAAGAAAATATAATATTATATATATATATATTTATTTTATTAAGTAATGCCTTGTTTCTTTTTTTTTATTTATCGATTCTCATTTCGTAACCGATTATATGTATACTTAACACTATCTGATAAAATAATTTGATAGGAAGAGAAAAGAATTTTGTAAATATATTTTGTCATAAAACAAAATTGATTAACAAATATCAAGAGTAGGTGTATTACACGCTTTTTTTTTATAACTTAACAAATAATCACATCATAAATTTTTTTTTTATATCTTACGTTCGTGAACCATTATTATATCACTATCCGATGATGTATCCAATGAAACGTTAACAAGATACGTTTCTTCATCAATGTCATCGGTTGATATTGGATTTTGAGCCATTATTTCTGATTCTATGGGATATCGAACATTTTCATTCGAAATCGAACATAAATGTTTGTATTTAAATAATGAAGAAGAAGAATCCGTTAAATTTAGACGTTCTTGATCTAAGAAAAAGAGACATGATATATCAAATGAAAAAAGGGTAATTTTAATAACATAACTGCCATTACGTATTTTTAAGTATCGTACACGCACTCATGCAATCAAAATGAAAAAAAAGCTCTTGAGAATAAATTCTCATATGTATAGACTAAAGACATGCGTTTTGTATCACCGAAAGGAAGATATAAATCAATTGATGTTACGAAATTTATATGTATACGAATCGAAGGTCGTCATGATGATATAAGGATTCTAATCTTACAAATATAATAATCGAGCTTTCTTGATATTTTTTTTCTTCTTCTCATCCTAAGAGATTGTTTTAATGACTATTAAAAGAATCAAACCAATAACACGAAAATTTAAAGGAAAAAAAAACATTGGTGATTTTAATCATAAGTATTAAGAATAAATTTTTTTTCAATGTACTCTCAAAGATATTTACTTTTAACTTGATGATCAATAAATAATGGCTATGATGTGAATTAAAGAGACACAGAGAGAGAGAAGAACTGTTGACAGGTGGATGAGTGGATGTATATATATGTGCATGTTTGGCACTTTAAACGATACGGACAGAGAGAGAAAGTAAAAGGTGACTCGTCAAATAAATACTAAAAATTCTTTCTTTTCTCTCTGGCACTTGTCCATCCTATTTTACATCTCTCTTCTTCAGTTGTTATAACCAAGAGTAAAAGCTTGATGGTTAAGAAGAAGAAGACGAAGAAGAAGAAAAGAAAAGAAACTTCTATTCATATTGTATTCTCTCTGTTTCTCTTCAATGTACATTGATGCCAGAACATATAAACTTACATTGACATTTTTCTCTCGTTACCCTTACTCTCTACTCTGTTCTGTTGTTTGTGAGCATACATATTTTCTTTGAAATATTTGTATATATATATATATGTATATAAAACTTGTCATATACATACTATATTTGGAGCGTTGTTCTCTTATATATATAAGAAAAAGAATACATTGATCACGAGACAAGCCTAGAAGTAATGTGACTAGAATAACATCTAAATCCAACTACTGTTGACATTATACCTCACAAACACCTCTATTTTCTTTTATATACAAAAATAATAAATACGTTTCTTTGACTATGATCAGATTAATATTCGGTACTGTTTTTTTTGCATAAGTTACTTTTCTTTTTTTATTCTCTATAAAAAAATACTCTTGTTGATAATTTGGTCATAATCATTATATATTTCTTTTTCTTCAGTCATCGATTTGACATTGACTGTATCGTTTGAAAACATACTCATTAATAATATATTTTCTTCCTCTGGTTATATATATACGTAAATGATATTTACAAAATATGCGAACGAGAAGGAGACGTTGTTTGAATCAATGTAAATGAAAGAAATATAATCAAATGAAAGAATATATCAGACAGGAAAAAAAACAGATATTAATAAAGAAGTGCATATGTCTTGTCAACATTACTACATATTATACATATATGATATGACATATAACTAGAGTAAAGGACAAACTAAAAAAAGAAGTGTCTATCACGTTTTTCTTTGATCTATAGACTAATAGATGTTATCTAAATATGATACATCTGTCGAAATCAATTAAATTATTAAATCAAATGTTTGATAAGTAGATAATATTTGAAATTTTAAAGCATTAACAAAATACATTAGTGTGAAGATCATGTTATAACATAAAGTGTATCTAATTTATCTGGTTATGTAATGTTAACATCTGATGCTATATAACAATAGAAAGCTCACACTTTAAATGAGATTTATATTTGAGATATCATTGTGTATTTGACATTAATACTAAGATAATAATCAAATTTCACTCACCAATTTTTTTCATATGTCTTGGTAAAGGTTTTGGTGGATCAATTGTATGTTCATTGATAGTAAATGTTTTTGGTTTATACCATGTTGATGATTGAGTAACACGTTGCAAACCGGGAGCATATGTTGATGTTCCATTAGAATTAATCAAACGTCGGCTATTAATAATAACACTGCCATTTGTATCATAGCTTGAAGCTGCTGAATCATGTCTTATAGGACGTCGTTCAGACCAAGATTGACTCTGTGATCGATATCGATGTGTATCGTTAGATGTTGATGATGATGATGTTAATGAATCATAAGTCTCATTATTTTTATTATTATTAAAATCATACCGTCTTGTATGAAACACTTGTCCATGAGATTTTGTTTTCCGTAGGCCATTGTTAGATGTATAATCACGATTGAACCAATTAGGAACAAGTAATTTATTGAATGAAGCACGCAAACGTTCTTCATAAGTTAATACTTGTTTATGATTCTTAAATTTATAGACCTCGTCAATAACATTAAAAACACTTTGTAAATAGAGTTTTTCTTCCAAACGGGTCATTATTATAATTTTTCTTGATTAAATAATAAGTTCATTGAAAATAATGAATGATAGTAATCGTCACACGTACTGAATAAATAAAACTAAATAAATGAATGAATGGATGAATGGATGAAAATGAACGACTCCTACGTGCATTTGTTGTTCTCGTTAAAATGAATGAATGGATTTTGTATGTGCAATAAGAAACAACATTTATATCATTGTATTGTTCGAAAGTATATATTTATACGGAAGTTTTTCTTCTTCCTTTTTTGTTCATAAACGAATGCGAATCTATATAGACGACGAATGGAAGGTCGATGTGTTCAACTAAAGAATAATATAAAGAGTGACAAAAGAAGAAGAGGAGAAGAAGAAGGAGAGAGAGAAAAAAGACAAATATCCGTAGTAGAGAAAATAAGTTGCTTGTGTTGATTGACCAGTCGTCTGGTCGTCAGTTTATTCGCTCACAGTTGTGTGTTTGTTATTTGTCTCGTGAAACAATATCTTGCATAGATGAGAAGAGAACAAAGAAGACAACATATATATATATATGCTTTGTACTTGTATGAGACATTTAGAGATCTAATCCTACTGAACATTAAATGTGAAAAATACTAACTCAAAAAATAAAAGAGAGAAAAGAAATTAATGCATTGTGTTGAACGACGTTAATAATACATTTGTCAATGGTGAGCACAGCAGGAAGGAAAATGTAAGAAGGTGAATAAAAATAATATTATGAATCAAAAAGAAGCCTGCGTTTAAATGAACAATAACATCCTGCGATACCTTTGAACTATCATCAAACGACAAATCGCCGCTTTATTTTCATTGACTTGTTATATCCGGAAATCGCTGGACGTGATTGTTCATATGACAAACAACAGTAAAAAAAAGAAAAACGTCGAACGAACATTAAAAAAATAGTCGAGCTATTTTTTCTTCTTCTTTCCTTTTATAACATAACATTCAATTGTGATCATGCAAAAAATCGATTCTCCTATCAAAAATACATCAACTAATCGATGATTTCATTTGACATTGTGTCTCTTTTTTTCTCTCTCAATATTATTGATTATTAAAGAAAACTATATATATATATATATTGATACAAAAGAAAATGAAATAGCTCAATGACATTTAAATACAACATTTATTATTTGTCTTCTCCATCATCATCATCAAGTTCAATAATATCCGTATGTAATCGTTGACTATTAGAACAATCTGTAACCATAAGTATAGGTAATGTTGTACTGGTTAATTTTGTACTACATTCAGAAAGTCGATCATCAATAGCACTCATAGTTGCCGAACAATTATCTTCTTTTAAACGAGTATATTGTTCACCTTGATGTGTTTTTCGTTTATTTGTACAAGTAAATGCATAACAATTTGTTATTGGACGTGTATCTGTATCACTTTGTGCTTGTTCATAAGACAAATCTTTAATATTTGATGTTGAAATAGTTTCATCTTTGAAATCAATTTTTAATGGATTATATGTTTCAAGATAATGTTCTAAAAGACTATTATTATTTGTTTTTGTTTGTATTGGTTGTTTATCATTTAAAATTGGTTCATTATTTGAAAAAAGACTATCAGATCGATAAAGTAATGGTGATGGTACATGAGTTGGACGAAATGATCCATAATGATGTGATGAAATGACAAATGCTCGACAGATTTTATCATTCGATGTTGATGGAGAATCATAATGAAAATGAAAACGTTTTAAATTTGATAGAAATTTGAGTATAAGACGACTTGATATATAAATAATGATAAATAAAATCCAAAAAAGAACAATCTATAGAGAAAAAGATAGATAGATAAAACTCAATTAAATAGATTTACATATTGGAATTTATAACAAATGAAGGATGAATTACTTATAAACATGATCATGTCTAAGTCATTGTGAATGTTTTTATTTTGATCGTAGAAAAAAAACTATTCTCGAACGGATAAAAATATAATCATACAATGGAAATAAGTTTAATATAAAATAGATTACTGTCGAATCTTATATTTTATTGATGTCAATTCTAAATGAAAATATATTTTTCAATATTACTATTGTATTTAGAGTTATAATAAACTTTGAAATACACTTAACAAGACACATCAGTGATATAGAATTATAATTTAATTCAAGAAAAATATGATTAATAAAAATAATTCATTGTCTTAGTCCTATAATACAGACATATCTCAATTGCGAATCATTTCTTTTTCTTTACGGACATTTTCTTTTAATTCACTAGAAGAAGAAAAAAAATTGTCCGCAATCAAGATGAAATCGTTATCATATTCTAATAGACACAACCCCCAAGAGTTTTACATCCTATTTGTTCCGAGAGTGTTTAAAATCTAAGAGAAAAACAAACCGCTAAATCTCGAAAAATAAATAATATCACGTACAAATCGTTAACCATGGTAGAATGCATAATAAAAGAAAAACGGAAGTAAAAAATAGAAATAAAGCGTAAAATGCTTTTTCTTTTAGATATGATTATCTTCAAGAATAAATCCTTTTTTTTCTAGAAGTTTAATAAAATGACAGGAAGCTTCTTAGGATTTGTCAGTTAAAAAAAGATGCGAAGATAAATATATATATTATCCTTGAATAAACATATTTATATAGTTTTAGACGATTGATCGTCTTTTGAATTGAGTTCTAGATATAATCGATTATGCCTCATTTGTAATCATTGACAAGCAAGGTTTGTCATTGAATAAAGAGAGTTCATTTAATATTCATATCTTCATCAGGTAATTATTTCTCTCGGCTGTCGATTGTTTTGTGACATTTTTTTTGTCTATTGTTTAATTAATCAAACGTATAATAACTTACAAGTGAAAGTATAAATAATGTTCGTTGAACAATGGTAAATCGGCTTGGTATCCAAGAATCTGACGATATGTGATTATCACTATGATTATTTATTGTTTTAAAAATTTTTCCATTTGTATATTTCGACCAAGTGAGATTAAACATGAGACGTTTGTTAATCGACATTATTTTTCGACTAATAATATCTAAAAAAGATTGAATAAGATGCGTGCGTGCTGAAAAAAAAAAGAATATGAGAGGAGAAACTCGTAACAAAAAAAAAGAAGAAGAAGAAGAATAACAAGAAGATAATTTATGAGGAAGATTATTGCACGAATATTACTATTTTCTTCTCCATTTCCAACTGTAACATGAAAGGACTTTCTAAATGCTTTTCTTTCTCTTTTATTTTCTTTTTAATGACAATATGATTGTGAACGGCTAATTTTGATCAGGAAATAATGTCCAACATAGCACATGAATAGGTCAACCAGAAATAAAATGACACGCAAATTAATATACTAGAATAGCCATGTATAAATCTATACAAAAGAAAAGACCTTAGCTGTCGTATGCCTGTCAATCGACATGTTCGTCCTTCATACTGTTTATATTCAATCATATTTAGCTCTTTTCTTGTTGGCATTCTTTACATATATTGTTCAAATAAGCGCACATATTGACTCGCTCAACAGAAAGAAAAGCAACGAAACAGAAATCTATAACAAAGATCTTTTTTTTTTTTGTATATTGATTTAAGTGTATGCTTATGTAATATACGAAATTCATATCTTACCTTAGTTTTAAGTTGTTTATTTGCATTCAAAAGTGTACCATTTAGAATCTATTCGAATAAAAATTGGCCCGATTATGGAAATGAGACTATTACTAGTTAGTATATGCCCGACCGGAAATACCATCGTTTGCATTCTTTTCTGTCTATCTATGGCTCATTCTTCAATTATTCGTTTGTTGATGTCTACTGTTAACACTTGCCTTGTATTCATCTATCACTCATAGAAATCTTTTTTTTTCTTCTTCTCTTTCTCTGATACTAATCATATTCGGGAGTTTTGAAGAGATCACTCGGATTTTTTTTTCTTCTCATTCTTCTATTTCTTGTATTCTTTTTCTCGTTCTTACACAACAATTACAAGCAATAAGTCATATATAAAAAAAACGATTTGTTTTCTTTTTTTCTTTCTTTTCTTTTTCATAGTTTTTCATAATTAACATTAAAACTTTTCTGTCGAATTATTTGAATACTATAACGTGTTCCATCAATTGCATATGACATTACATTTAACCACATTACACGATTTGGTATTATATCTGCGCCTGTAGCACCACGTGAATATTTTAAAAAGAGCATTCCACCAACAATATATACGAAAAGAAGTACAAGTAATATGATAATAAAAACAGCACCACCACTCATAGATCCATCGGAATAGTGACATTTTCCAGGACAAGCACATCGAGATGTAAGAAAGATATCATATATCGTTGGGCCATCTTGACGACTAGTTATTGTGTCTTCATGAGCATCACGACACGTTAAATGGACAAGTAGAAGAAAATCAGGTGATTGATAAGCAAGTAGATTTTCATCGACATGTTTTTCAAATACAGCATCACTTTGTCTTGCAATCACATTTGATATACCTGTTTTCGTATCAGCTATATAAAATATATTATAATTCAAAAGTAATAAGTTTATTTTACATACTAAAACATGCTGCAGCATTAGTACAATCACCACCATCCGACTTTTTATAAGAAAAACATCCATTCCAACTTAAACTATGTGGTATAGAACTTGTAGTAGGTATATTATCATATTTTGGTGTTTTTCCATTTGCATTACCTAACGTACGAACATCTAATTGTTGACCATTTCCAACATCGTAGATACATGGCGATGCACAAGTAATCGTTTGAATAAAGAGTATAAAAAAATAACCAATTGACAAATTCAACATAGGAACATACATTATAATTATGAATAAATATACTGAAAAAAAAGCACGTATATAATTTTCTTTACATTAATAATCAAAGTTTTTTTTTATATAAAATAAAGAAAAAATAACAAGATAAACAAATATTTTTATTTTCAAAGTTTTTCATATGAATCTCGTCCTCTAACTTTCGATACAGTAAATCTAACACCATTCATTGCATCAGCTCCAATCTGTAACCATAAGGTTCGATTTGGTATAAGATTAATACCTTGTTCATGTTTAACAAATCGAAGAAAAATAATACTAATAATAAGATAAGTTGTAATAATACAAATTAAAATTATTATAAACACAGCTCCACCTGTTAAACCATTCGATTTATAAGTACATTTACCAGGACAAGCACATTTACTTTCAATTTGTATTATATAATTATTATCATCAGCTCTCTGAGCTTTCATTGATTCACTTGTTGAACATAGAAGAAAAACTTGTACTTTAATACTAGCTCCATCTGTATAGATAATTGTTGATACACCTTGTGTATGCGTAAATGATCGACCTTCTTGTCGAGCAATTAATCTATCTTTTTTCGATATTTCGTCAGCTTAATTAAAATAATAGAATAACAAAAAACTAAACTACAACTAATAGATGAAGAAAAAAATTGTCTTACTAATACAGGCAGCGGCGTTTTGACAAGCATCTTTTGTTGAATAAGCAAAACAGCCATTAAAAGAATATGTTACAAGATTCGTTGAAACGGAATCACGTACATCAACGTATTTTGGTCGATTTTTATAACCGAATGCTTTTAAATCTAATATACCCTCATCTGTTGTATATTCACAATCATCTCCTTTAATTGCGTAGAAATTCAAAATAATTGATATGAAAATGCTCGAAATTATCATAGTTACTTGCGAATAAAAAATCTTTAACATATAACAATAGATATCTATACCATGTGTTTTATGAAAGATAAGTTTATATGGTAAATGTGATACGTCATTTTGCATATAGAATTTGATAAAGACTATGACTAAGAAAGAAATATATAGTATATATTTATTCTTGCTTGTTCGTCCATAGTCCATGTAAATAATAATATATCAATTAAAATTAACCTAGATAGTATTCATTTATGTCTATCATTCTTTTTTTTTGAAAATCTTATTATTCAATAATTCTTTAAAATGTCATAAAAAGAGTTATTAAGTTTATATTAAAATTATAAATCTTGTCAGAATTATTTGAAGATGATAGAAATGAAAATTTTTCTAGTCAATGGATTAATATTGTCTCAATAATTTTGTCTTCGAAATTGTTCGGTCACACTACTAAATGTCTCTATCGCTCAATATAAGAAACATACCTATAGATAGATGTATTTAATCTTTGTCTTCTTATCAAATATATATGACATAAGAATATTTATTTACATTTGACTTTGTTGACGATAGAACATAATTGTTCTTTCGTTTCTAATGACGATCAACGAACGGCAACAATAAAAAAAAAGAAATAAGAAAGGAAACAATTACCAATTTTGACTCGTTCATATGTACACATATACACGTACACACACACAAGTATATGAGATAGATAGATGTATGATGAATGTTCATTGAAACATTAAATTCAGTATCTAGAAACGAAGAGCAAATGGAATTAGGTAATTCAATGGATGAACCTGATGATGACGATGATGATGATGATGATGATGCTGAAGAGGAATTTCCACCATTACCATCTGATATTGATATACCATCACACACAAATACACCTGATCCTTATGATAATAGATATTATACTGTTAACTATTCTTATTGTTCCTCTCCTCCGCTCCCTCCACCACCACCACCACCACAACTTCCACCAACATCAACAGCTACAATGACACGAATATATGCTAATGCTCGTACAATTTCTTCTATTCGAAGCCACGATACTATAAATCAACCGACAATAGGATTTGCTACTCAACACAAGAAAAAAGCTCGAGCACCAATTGCTTACCCATTTGAAAGCGTTTATGTTAATATGCCTATATCACCACCATTACCATCGCCACCATCACCACCGCCGTCGACTCCACCAAAAATACCTGTAAATATACCCGATGAAGTTTTATATGCAACATTGATGAATACAACATCATTAGTAACATCACTTTGTTCGGATACTGAAATAAATCATGTTGAATATCAACAAGTTCAACATAAATCTGATGACAAAGGTCATAAACGAATCTATGAAAATATTAAATCTCGTAGACCACCTCCTCCTCCATGCTATTCACAAACAAACACTTTACGAAGACGAATGTCATTATGCCCAGTAATTCCTGTTGATGTTGACATCTCATTAGCACAACCAAATATAAACAATAATGATATAATTATATCACCTGCAGAACATACTTATATTAATTTAGAATGCAATGAAGATATACCACCAATAATTCCAAAACGAACGTGTAAATCAATTGTAAATACTGTTCAAATATCATCATCACCATCACCACCTATAGTACCACCAAGAAAAGAACAAAAACAGGATGTTCGTTGTTCATCTTCAAATTTAACAACGACTCTTCTCGAAACGGAACAACAAGATGAAGACATAAATGGTCTTGAGACTAGTTCAAATGCTAGTACTGTTCAAGTAAGCTCATTTGTTTTAGAAGAAAATAAAAACATTATTTATTTCTATATATGTATATATTTCATATTTTCAGACAGTAAAAGAACGTGAAATAAATATAGGTTCTACTAATGGTGATAAAGGTGATCAATATCGTACAAAAATATCTGCAACTACTGTAGAAAATCGTCCCTCATCTATGAATACACGTCAACGACGCACATTACATAGTATTCGACGACGTCGTTTACGTGGTTCTATAGCTGTACGTGGTAGTATAAGAGGATTGACAAATCTTAGTACAAATCGACAACAACAACCACAACAACAACAGCAACAACAACAACGTTCAAATTTGAATATTACAGTTCGTCATCCAATGATTACAAATGATCGATGGCGACGTACACTACGTAAGCGACGACGGCAACGTGTCATACAAATGAAATTAGATGGAAATGTATCACATCCAAGAATGAAATCAGTCAGACCTGTATCTGATCATACTTATAATGAAATAAAACAACCAATTCTATCAAATAATTTAATACGTACTAATGGACATAATGGAGCAGCGGGTGGTGTACTTGAACGTGCTATGCAATTTAATGGAGCATTAAGAGATCGAGTTTTCTCATGGTATCGAGGAGCAAATCATAATGATCGTGAACAACAACAACAACAACAACCGCAACCGGATCAACAACAAATAGTAGAACCACAAGCTTTTTCAACATCAGATAATGGAGAATCAGATCAAAAAGTAAATAATTTAACTCATTTTCTTGACGTAATTATATTTTATTTCAAATATAATATTTAGGATACACGTACAAATGAAGATGAAGAGGAAGAGGAAGAAGAAGAAGAAGGAGGAGAAGAAGAAGAAGAATTTTTTACTCATGATACATTTGAAGATTTTCTTTTAAGACGCCGTCCAAAATCATCAACTTCTACTACTCCTAGTGGTAGTAGTACTGTTGTCTCACATATTGATCCTATTCCTCAACGAGTACCTGTTCGAACACCACCCAAACAAAAAATTCATGCTCCTCGTCCTCCACCACCTCCTCCACCTTTACCACCAACTCCACCACCCACTCGTCGTATTCCTGGTTTAGCATTAAGTTTAGATAAAACAGACGTTGATTTTATTCATAATATTCTTCAACGTACACGTGGTGATCATCGAGTATGGAATCGAATAACCGCATTGAAAGAAGCTTATATAAGAGCAACAAGTAAAAAACATGATTTACCGAAAAAACCCAAACCAATTCAAACTCAAATGGATGAAAAGAAAAAAAAGAAAGCTATGGCAATGAAACATTCCTTAGCAGCAACTAAAATTCGTGCTGAACTTGAAAAATATGATGAATTACCAGCTAGTTCAGCAACGATTATTGACGAAGATGATTATGATGAAACATGTTCAGCTAATGATCATCATAAGATTAATTATCATCCACATCATCGTTCAGTACCTTCTTTACTTCCTACACCTTCAACAACACATCGAATTGTAAATTTTGTTACATCAATAAAACGACGTGCTCAAAATAATGTTCAACAATTACAAAAAAATCTTCATGATATTCGTTCTCGTGTTCATACAGAATCAATGGCAATGTCTCCAAATCATATTGGCCTAAGTCGTCATACATCAATAACATCTCGAAAAAAACAAATATTTAAAGTAAAACTTTAATCTTCTTACATTAAAATAATATTTTTTTGTTTAATTCTAGGATATGTCTAATACACCTCGAATGCATCAATCACGAATGGACATAACACCAAATGAAAATACATTAGTTCGCCGTACAAACAGTCATCGTTCAGCTACTTCAACAGAACATTCGAATGCCTTTCATCGTCATCAATTACATCGTACACAATCTAATGTATCTCAATTACCACAACAGCAGCAACATACGCATCGTCAACAGCGTCGTATAACAAATGAGAAATCAGCAGTTGTCGTTGATCGATCAGCTAGTTTAACAAATCGTCCACCTCCATTCGAACGACGATCATCACGTCAAATACAAAATGGAATGACTCCTCGTCAACAACGTGTAAAAATATCTAGTTAAATTTTTTTTTTATTTCAATATTTTGTGCCTCTTACGTTAATAAATAAAGAAAAGCATTTACGATCAAATATATCTGAAGTTTATATTTAAAAAAAGAACGTTAATCTATCTTGATATTCATGAGACAAAAAAATTATATAGGACGAATTAACAAATTAAAATCGGATATTTGAAGCAAAAGAGTTTCTAGCTCTTCTCATGTTAAAATGTGTTACATGGAGTTTGTTTCGATTTAAAGTAATTCTAGAACTTCAACTCCCAGTGTGATCGATCTGGATAGTCTGAAAATAAAAATATTCAATTTGACACTTCTCATAGTTTTCTATTAAATCTATTCAACTGTTAAATTATAAACATTTTATATTGAAAAGAGTTATTTATAGTATAAATTCTTCTGAATACCTCTCAACAATGACATTTCATGCTAATTACTATTATGTCAATTATTCATCTGTTTCTTTTACTTTGAACTATTCCTTCAAAGAAGAGTAATCAACTAGTCAAAGTCTTCAATGATTTATCTTGAAAGATAACATCTGAACAAAGAACATCTGTCATACATTCAATTCCTTAATGTAAGACTGTTTTATCTTTGACATCTACTCATAAAAATATCGATATCTTTAAATAGCTTTTATAAATCATGTTTTTTTTAGTAATGCAAATTGAGAAGTTAATATAAATAATATACCAATTTATTCATTATTAAACTTTACTCCATCAAAATATATAGAATATCAGAAATCAAATGATATCATTAATATATAAACAAAACAATTGAAACTATTTAAAAGGAAGATTTTTTATGTCATTATTTAAAAAACAGTAGTAGACTATTGAAGAATCCGATCAGGAAATTGTTCTACTTTGAGGAGAAATACTTCAACCCCACAAAAGCAATATATTAAAGAGAAATAGAAACAGCGAAAACAACATCTATTCTATACTATATTCGACACCAAACGGATATTTTATACAAAGAAACACCTTTTTTTCCAAGTTCCGTTTTTCATTATGAGTGGAGATATGGATGAATCATTTCTACTGATAAAAAGCCGTATTTCATAGACTCTTTTCTTAGACTGAAAAAATAAAATGACTTTTATCTGTCTATGTCACTTTCCGAGTGGAGATATGATTTATCATCTCACATTATTATCTATTCACTTCTAATGGTAAAAAAGCCATGTTTCGTAGAATCTTTTCTTAGACTGAAAAAATAAAATGACACTTATTTGTCTATGTCCGAAATAAAAGCAGTTTTATTTTTAAAAAGTATTATCATTTGATTAAGCATACGAAGTCAAGTACTTTATTTTTTCTTAGATTACACATATATTATTGCTATTGTAAATTTTGTAGCTGATTTATAAGTAGCAAATAAGTCTACTATAGTAATCTATTTGTATGTTATTCAGTAGAGATATAGATTTGTAGTTAATACATTCAGTTAGTTCAAGGTCTTATTTAGAAGGATGTAGATTTTACACTTAATGATTGTGCTTTATCAACTGATCGATAATCAAAAACAGTTGTGTATTTAGTTTTTGTCTTTGACGATAGAAGACACGTACAAAAGGCCGATACTACCATCGCCTACTTGACATTATTATTAAATCTCTGATAAGATAATAAATGAAGGTTAATCGAAAACTACTGAAAATATTCGAATTATACTCAATAACAAGTTTTCAGTATCTCATAATTAGTGATGATAGTGCTTTAGAATAGTTCGAAATAGCTTCACAAAATCCAGTTCAATAATCGATTTATTTGACTATGCAAATGTATTGATGTTGAGAGAAAATACTCGGAAAGGAACAATCTGTTGCAATAAATCTTCAGTTTTATATATATATGAAAGACTAACTAGAAAGCTTTTATCATGTTCAATGTGAAAAAAACGTTTTCACATATAAATTATTGATTATATTGATACTTGTTAAATAGGAAAATCATAGAATAGACATGTCAAATACCATTGTTAGTATCATAAATATATTTTCTATTTTCTTTTTCTCTAGGGTTCTATTTTCTATTATTTCATATAGATATTAAATAATATTCTTCATTGTTCAAAGTAAATTTCTCTATTGTAATTATAACATATAAGAAATTAATTTTAATAATTATATCCTGCAGATGTTTTTATAAGACTTTTAACAGAAGTCATCTAGTAGATGATTAATAAAGAAAAGAAGAGTACGAAAGAACAGATGTTTTATCGGTCGTTATTTTCTGTCGGAAGTCTAGGTTCTTGATATACACAATTGCTCTTCGAGATCTTCCCATCAATATGTACACATATTTGTGCATATATTTCTTCATGCACGATATCAGAAAAGAAGAAAATGTCCTATCATGTATACATCGATGTTAGTTATTGATAAAATATGCATATATGAAATACGACAAGTGACATAATGTCGAAGGTAGTTATTATTATTATTCTGTTTTTTTTCTTTAGTTGCCGGTAAGGATGGTGATGTTGCTAGATGCTTTTTATGCTAGTACTCTAGACGGAAAAGATAGGAAACAACGACGAATCGACATACAGCCTTTCCATTAGTACTACAAGGGTGCACGACAATTCTTCCTCTTGCCGCTAGTTCAAATCCTTTTTCTCTACTCATAATAGTATAGAAGCTTCGTCGTTTATATCCGTCCTCTCTTCTCACGTCCTTTCCTCTATTTCTCTCTCTCTCTACTTTCTTGCCTCTATATCTCTTTCTCTCTTCAGAGTTAGAGAGCCAAACACGCATCCGTTATAAATTGCCATCAATCAGTACATCATATTCTTTCACTATTCTCTGTACATCTTTCTTTTTTTCTTGACGAGATCATTTTCTTTTGTTTTGTTTTATTAACATATCAATGAAAACTTGTTGTTTTGAAGATTCTTTTCAGTAAGTATATACGATCATTTTATGAAAAATATATTAAAAATAAAAGATGCAGAAGAAAAAGAAAAAAAATAAGATGTCACTCCTTCTCTTGCGCTCCATTGACGCGTACTGACTATGAAACAAAAGAGCTGAGGTAACTTAGGGAGAAGAAAAACAGAACGTCCTTCGTATTTTCATAACTTTCCTTCTTTTTTTTCTTCTTCTTCTTCCATAGAACATGTGTTATCAACAACAAGATAAAAAAAAACATACAGATTCATTCATAATGCAACTATATATACATCTGTTTAGGACTCAATTTTTTTGATTAAAAAAGTGTCACGTTTCTAGAATAAGGAAAAAAACCATCATATACATCAGATAAAGACAAATATATACACACACAAACAAACAAACAATGATAGAGTGCAGAATTCGCGCTTTTAGAGTTCTTGGAAAGAAAAAGAATTTTTTTTTATCGGTCTCGTTGCTGACTCTCAAGTATATGTAAATGGAAAGAAGAAAGGCGAAATGTAAAAATGAGAAAAGAACAAGAACTAATGACTATAAAATATGTAAGAAAAAAA